TGTTTGTCTTTCTTTCTGTTTGTTTGTATCAAGCACGAGCATGACCGTTTGAGCCAGGTTGTCAATGAATGCTAAAATCGTTCAGACATGTGAATTACTCTTTCTAAACAAAGCCGTGGCATCTTTGCACTTCCTGGGATGTTATTTGAGTGGTGTGATTAAGCTCACAGCAGTTGAAAGCAGGATTTGTTATTTTTTCCCGCTCTTATCTGAGTGTGCCTTTTCACATTGTCCTCCTCACAGTGTAGTGTCATCGAGTGTCTGAATAGCATGCTGGTGAAGTGGCTGACATGGCATTCCGTCAGCGCATCGGAGGGCGGTTTGGACATCAGTCTTAACAGCAACAGCACCATGTGAGTATACCAAAAATATGAAATAAAAATCGACAGTATTTAGTTAGTTATCAACACATTTTCAAAAATAAACAACTTTTCTTTTTGCTGATGTAACCAAGGCTGTATAGGCAGATAAAATGGTATTAACCAATACTAATATAGCCAAAAATGCTTAAATACTTATTCTTATCAAATCCCGATAAAATCCCAGCATTATTTCCAGCTGAGTAGTCTTGGAAACATGTTGCTTTCTAGTATTTAAATAACTTGCGAATGCTGTTGTCTTTAATGTGACTTGCACTTTACCGAGTCCTCTGAGAGTTTTTAATGACTCAGTCAAAAACGCACTGTCTTGGAAAACATTGCAGAAATAATCTGAAGAAATGGGACCACACTCCAATGATTGTACTCTTTAAAAGTCTTGCATGAGGTTTACCACTGCAGATTTCTTTATATTTTATATTTAAAAGAGATCAATGAACTGCTCCTGTGGTCGGGCTCCGTCTGAACCTCGTTTACCCTAAAAGTGTTCTGTGGAACGGTGTGTAATGAAGTGCGGTGGATTTTTTCCCTCGCCTGCCATGTATTGCTTCTTTCTCACTGCTGATTTGGTTATTTTTTTTATTACATTACTGATGTGCACAGCTGAAGGAGAAATTATGAGCAAGGGCAAAACCCTGTTTGACTGCGCCGGTGTGCCATGCATCAATGCGGTACACCCATTATTCCCTTTTTCGCTTTGGGTCTCTGTGCGAATTGTGTGGGTGCCAAGCATAGCACAAAGACACATCTGGTGTGATTTAGCTGATTTATTTTGTACTTTCTGCAAGGAAAAATAGTTTTTCACATGTTATTTTGTGTATGCTTTCAAAAAAGTGAGTGAAAAGAATAATGCACTCCCCTTCCTAGAACTATGACCTTGTCTGGCTTCATGGACTCAGTTATGGAGCTGGTTCGCTTTGTGGGACTGCTGGCATCTGAGGGACTCCGTCTGGAGAACTGCCATGTTCTTCTGCTCAACCAGACACTTGCTTTCTATGAGACGGTACACTCAGCTATGATTAACTTAATTAACATGATGTTCTTGGCAAAGTGACATCAACCGAAGTTCCACCCTGAGTTTTACTAAGATTTATGTGCTGATTTTCGTCTAGTAGATTTAATGTTAATGTTAATGTCTTTGTGCTAATGCAGACATTTTTCTCTCATCATGTCTAGGTGTGTGACATGTTTTTGAAGTACAGTTTGCCTCTGATCATCATGCCTCCGGCTGGGGTTTTTTACCCAGCTCTCTTTGCTACAGACTCTATCAGCGTTGATAGGCTTGGCTACATCATGTTCAGGTACTATATGTGAGCTATAATAAGCTTTATGGGTTAGTTTATCACTCTGGTCAATCCTAGAGATTTTCTGCTTGTGATGTTAGCTTGGCCATGCTAGATTAAGGGCATCTTCTTTTGGAACTTTTGGGTGAGGGTAAGTTCCTCTTCATCACATGTGCAGTTCCCATGGCAGTGGGACACCTGTGTGCTGCTGGCTAATCTGAGGGCAGCAGCCTGAACCTTCAAATGCATTACATTGCCATGGCATGATGCCTGTAAGCAATAGAGGAAATGAAGTATGAAGATCCTTTCATCTACTTAGGCACGCAAACCTTTCAGTGCTTCTGTGAAGGCCTTAAAGGGAAAGGTTCACTCAAAAATCAAAAGTCTGCTATTTATCATGCCAATATGGACGAATATCTAAGCTACTGCTTTCTATATAATGAAAATTGATGGGGATTTATAGTGCCGTTAAACTATTTCATGTCTCTTTTTTTAAATAGAACAAATAGTTCTAGTGTGTCTATATTGACAGACTATTTTCCTAATTAATGTTGTACAGTTGCTCTGACACAATCTGTATTGTTAAAAGCTCTATATAAATAAAGGTGACTTGACTTGACTAGTATAATATGTTAGCTTTATTAATAAAATGCTGTTGTTATATCCTTTTCTCAGATACCGGAAGAATCTGACCTTGGCTAAGAAACAAGAGCAGCAGAGAGAGGTAATGAGGAAACTGTGTCATAAAATGAACACATAGCAAAGTCAAGAAAAGCCAACTGTGTATGCAAGAGGTTTTGTGTCTGATTAATTTACTCATAATGGGTAAATTAGAAGGACCTTCAAGCTGTGCTTTTAAGAATTTACAATGAAGCTCCTGGAGGCTATTGCTGTAATCCTCACCTTACCTGCTGGGGATGAAAAGAGAAATGGAGTCTTCTTGATTGAATCCCAGCGAGACAAAGCATGGCACTGGAATTGCAGTGAATAAAATGGCCAAATAAATTGATCACAGCATTGCACTTTTGTCATTTAAAATATATAGGTGATTCTTGTCTCACACTGTAACCCATTAGATCCATTTAGTGGCACCAAGGTGTTATTGTACCCACAAGCATTCTGTGGAATTTTCATTTACACTTTTTATTGAGCTGTGAATGTGTCTTGACAGGTGTTGACTTATTCATTTAGTTTCATGTTTAATATTTTCTCACATTGCAGCAAACATTCCACATTAGCAGAAACACATACAAGGAGTTTAATCGGAACCTTCAAGCCATGGTGAACTCCATGTGGAACTCCTGGTGGTGCAGCCCTGGTTCAGATATTGAGATTGACAAGGATCTTATCGCTCTGAGCAAAGTGGCAGAACCCTGGTGCCGTTTCGATCTCATCCACCACCCGGCGCTTTTCAGCTATGCCATCGAATTTCATCAGAGGGTGAGTGAGAGATTCTCACACTAGTGACATTTAAAAACACGAGAGTTTGTAATCGTACAGTGATTTTGGACTGTCATCTAATTTGGAGCGAAGGAAAGGGACTCAGCTGCGCAAGCTAATTAGATGATTATATTACATCAAGTGTAAAGCCTTGTGTCACTCCTGGGGACAGCACAGCCTCCACTTTTCTCTAATAACTTTAGGAATGGACGAGGAGATAAATGTGGTATTAATGTTTCTTTTATAGAGGATCCATTAATACAGAATCACATTTTATTATTCATGGAAGCTGTGTGAGACTGGAGTTTTCATCATCTTTAATAATACAAGTACCTTTTTTTGGTCCGACTGCAACATTCAGTAGTGTACTACTTTAGAGCAAAGGGAGAACAATTAATATTTATGTGTTCTCTTTATCAGTGTTGGCCGGAGAGGAAGAATGTGGATCTCGGTTCTATAAAGGTACTAACGTTATATCATCTCCTTTTTATTAAAAACTACTTATTTCAGGTCAACATGAGAGCATGTATCAATCAGTCATATTCGGTTGCAATATTCCACACCATAACTCTTCTTTTCATGTTTGCAGACCGGGAAGTACTGGAACTGGTATATGGAGTTTCTCTTTAATCAAGGCTTTGATGGCCTCAACAACTTTATTCAGACCAACACTGGGCACGGCTCCACGTTGAATAGTCAAGAAGACGGGCAGCCCAAGAGTCAGCCTTGATGCTGGCAGGAAGTCCAGGTGTCAGGGGTGTTCATAAAACATGTATATATTTTATAGTCATCCTCCGTAAGAGGGCAGAAAGGAACCACTTGCATAACTGTAAATACTAAATGTACATTACAAGCCATTTTGTGACTTTCCAGTCTTTTCTAGTGTTGTGTACTTTTAGACCTTTTTTGCTTTTTATCTTTTGTGTACAGAAAACGGACCTAAAACATTGTGATAAATCCCTAATATTTCAAAAAAAGACTGTTTTTACTGCCATATTAAAAAAAATCTCATTATTTATAACGATTTAAAACTGATGATCAAAGATTGATTAATAGTCTTGTTTTTTTATTTCTGTAAACCTAATGGGCTATGTATCATTGATCGACCTGATATTAAAATAAATCCTTTGTTCTCAGATCCAGCATGAGGTAAAGCAGAGTGGTGCAGGCTTTTGCCATTTGTTTTTGTAAATGACATTTACATTTACATTAAACTGGACTTATTTGGGGACCTGCTAACTTGCAGTGATTTAGAGCTATTGTGTGATATTTGTCTCAAAGTATAGTTGTGTTAAGAGTAATTCAAGTCAAGTCACCTTTATTTATATAGCGCTTTTAACAATACAGATTGTGTCAAAGCAACTGAACAGCATTAATTAGGAAAATAGTGTGTCAATAATGCAAAATGACAATAGTAAACACTAATTTTTCAGTTAAAGGCAGTTCATCATTGAATTCAGTGATGTCATCATCCTGCTCAGTTCAGTTTAAATAATATCTTTGCAATCAAGTCAACGATATCGCTGGAAATGAAGTGTCCCCAACTAAGCAAGCCAGAGGCGACAGCGGCAAGGAGCCAAAACTCCATCGGTGACAGAATGGAGAAAAAACCTTTGGAGAAACCAGGCTCAGTCGGGGGGCCAGTTCTCCTCTGGCCAGACGAAACCAGCAGTTCAATTTCAGGCTGCAGCAATGTCACATTGTGCAGAGGACTCATCTGGTTCCTGTGGTCTTGTCCCGGTGGTCGTCTGAGACAAGGTCTTTACAGGGGATCTGTATCTGGGGCTCATCTAGTTGTCCTGGTCTTCGCTGTCTTTCAGGGCTGTGGAGGTCCTTTCTAGCTGCTGATCCACCATCTGGTCTGAATACGTACTGGATCCGGGTGACTGCAGACAACAAATCTGTTTTTAATATTTCAAAATGCATCATTTCAAAATATGAATTGTTTAAAATGCTTATTACATTTAGCATGCATAATTAGCCATTTTTAATAGGTTGGTTTGCTCAAAGACCTCAAAGTAGATGTAATGTGATTTTAATGCAGACATTCTGCCTATTACTAAATCAAACTCTATAAAGACTGCTTCTTTAAAAAAAATAAAAAAGACTTGTTTTTCCACAGAAACAATGTAAGCATCCCCTAGGTAACTTGGTCCAAGTGCATCCTAGGAAATCTCAGCATCAAGGCAGTGTGAGCAAAGCTCTACGGCTTTACGTTCTACAGCCCGTCTCAGTCATAAACGTCTGCGTGTCTATGAAGGGCTCTGGAGATGCCTCGCGACGATGTGTCCCCTCTCTGGTCCGAGCTATTTTCAGCGCGAGCGCGTCACGATGCCGTCCAGCAAACTTCATCCTGGAGTGAATGAAGAATACGCGCACACCTCCGGGATTACAGCTCATGCGTTATCATGAATAGAGGCAGGTGCACAACTTCAAACGATGAATTCTGCGAGCGCAAAACTACACGATCTACCTCGCTCGGCTGATGTCCTTGTTCATGTACGAGAGATTATTCGTTCATCGCCGTCTGCCCGATCATCACTTCTCCACTCTCATCCCGCAGCTTTCCTCTTTTCATCTGTGCGTCCGTGTAAAATGGAAATCTGAAGTGCTCCACTTTCGCAGTTTCTCACCTTTCAAAGAAAAAGGTAGGACTTTATTTGCTGTACTTGACAAGTGTGCCGCGACGATGGCTAGAACCGTTCCATTCACGCAAAGCCTTTAGTTTCAGTTTAGAGACGCGAGATAAATCAAGCCGGTGATGTCCGTTATTATTCATGCAAACTCCTCGATCGGTGCTTTATAGAAAGGCCTGATGTGGACCGCCTTTCTTGTCTAACCGGTTGACACGTGAAGCCAGTGTAGCATATCTTGTGGTTTATCATCTTGTCCGATGCTTTATTAAGAAAAATATCTTGGAAGTGTCGCTTAAATTACGACAGTCATCTGCCGGTGACTTTATGAGCTGAATTAAGCTTGTCTATGTAACCTGTAGGAACGGTAATCGTAAAGAATGAAGGGTTCTAGTTCCGATTCCTCTTTCATTAACGTTAGCTGTTCTTTTACTTTTGAGGGAGAAATATTCATAGGGGAAAAGAAATGCAATTCATATGGCATTGCCCTCAGCAGTCGGTTGGCATGAGATCATTTCAGATTTTAACAGAACAAGATTAATTTATCAGGAAAAATCTAATTCTTGCAAAGTGTTTTCGTAGTTTTTATTAAGAGAAGAATGCAATCCAATGATTGGAAGGGACTGTCTATTAAATGGAATTGCTCTCATTTTTATTTTTAATAAAATCTCGCATATAACAGTAACAAATCAATTATTTGTATTAAATCTTACGACTTTAAAGTCCAACCTAGTCTTTATTTTAAGTGGATTATTTAAGTAGCTACTAATTGTAAATGAATTCAATAACCGCTCTGACAGATTAACAAAAGTTTGCTGATTTGCCAAAACGAACGTGGATATACAGTAGCCTATATTAGTCATTCATGAATCTACGGCAAGAGATATGGTTTTGATTCACTTAAAGAACCCACTCATAAGATGTACACTGGTCATTGATTCTCAGATGTAGAATCTGTATTAGTGCAGAAAACAGTCTCGTAGTACGAGTATCTTAATTTAGTTACGCTTGATGTTTTTTATTGGTAGCAATAAACGGCGTATTATTCATTCGTTAATCCAACAAGGTATGATTCGTTTGGAAATCAGACAACACTGGTGGCACTGTATGTTTTTGATTCCACTAAAAAGAACCGATTCATATGAATCATTCTTTTTTGAATCAGTTCTAAATAAGAACACAGTTCACAAACATTTGATAAGTTTTTGTTGTTCACAGCCCCCGGAAATGTTTGTAGCTGTATTTCTTTGTTTTTACTGTGTAATTATTAGAATTCAGTCCCCTCCTCTCTTCTTTCCAGACAGACAGTGCTTCACATTTTAAAAATGAAATGAGTGTGGGTTTTGACATTTGTCTCCAAATCAGGTTCATAAATTTTCAATGTTGTGGCACAGTAGTGTAATATGAGGTTGAAGCTTCTTTAAAAGCACTATTGTGACTCATGCTTTGATGTTCTTTGAAACGCCGACAGCCTTTAGAGCTGGTGGCAGTTCATGCTTGAACAGCCACAAAAAGAGGAAAAGTATAAGTGTCTATCCCTATCTGAGTGACAGTGATCCTGCTGAAATGATCAAGAGTCATCACTCTGAGTTATCAGCTCATCCTCTTTGTTATTCACATGAGTCATTCAAAGTTTATGCCACTGTCACAGTCCTCTTCCCCTTTTTCTTTTTTAGATCATGTAAGTTCATCCTTTCCCTTGCTGTCATATTCAGGGTTATAGAACACAAGAAACCTGGAAATATTAGGGAATTTTAAATGTGTGATTTCTAGGCCTAGCAAAGGAGACGTCAAAGTCATGGAAAAGTCATTGCTATAGTGAATGTAGATTTCTCTGGTTCTGCTCAAAGGCTTAGATTTTTGTACACAAGTAAATGGTTTGTTTGCATCTTTAATTTTAAGGATTGGCACCTGACTTACAGTTGAAAATCCTCTTCTGAAATCTCTATGAAAGATACTACCACTGTAATCATGAATGGCTCAAAATGGAAATTCTTTTGTCTCGGACTTCGGGAACCATGAATTTTCAATCATTTTGTGCAATCTGAAAATACATTTACCAATCGTTCAACATTTATTCGTTCGTCACAATTTATTCGTTCTTTGTTCTTCCCCAATCATGCATGTCCATTCCCTCGCTTGCAGTCGTCAATGTGAATATTGTATGTAATGAACAGCAAGTGTTGTGAGATGACACCGTTTTGAATGTATTTTGACAAGAACATTTATTGGTGCAGTGCGAGCCACTACACCTCTGAATTGTAACTCATTTTCTTGGTGATTTGCTTTCCCTCTGCACATCATCAGCATGTACTTTTGGACTACATTATTTATTTGCTCAGATGACGCCTTGTATACAGAGAACTACCAGGGGAAGTTTACCTTGTTTTTTTGTTTTGCCTCACTTAGAGGAGGGATCTAAAATTGTCAGGAGTTATGGCGACAGATTCGGCAAGAGAGAAACTTTCTTGAGCATGTTCAAAGTTCTGTTTGAAGGTTCTGTGTGCCATAATTAAATATGTTTTAAGATTTGCATTTCCTGAAGGAAATGCCAGTGCTTGCAATGCAGAAAAGAATACTTATGGGACTAGAACAAAACCCTAACTAGAATGTTTGATGAGTATCAATACAGTGCCTTGCCAAGACCGTGATGAACAAATCTGTCTAGTTTCTTCTAGTCTTGCAAGTTCCTCAGGTACGGACCATATGTGACCTTGGACCACAAAATCAGTCTTAAGTCGCTGGGGTATTTTTGTAGCAATAGCCAAAAGAACATTGTATGGGTCAAAATGATCGATTTTTCTTTTATGCCAAAAATCATTAGGATATTAAGTAAAGATCATGTTTCATGAAGATATTTTGTAAATTTCCTACTGTAAATATATCAAAACTTAATTTTTGATTAGTAATATGCATTGCTAGTAAGAACAATTTGGACAACTTTAAAGGCGATTTTCTCACTATTTAGATTTTTTTGCACCTTCAGATTCCAGATTTTCAAATAGTTGTATCTCTGTCAAATATTGTCCTATCCTAACAAACCATACATCAATGTAAAGCTTATTTATTCAGCTTTCATGTGATATATAAATCTCAATTTCAAAAAATTGACCCTTATGACTGGTTTTGTGGTCCAGGGTCACATATTATGTTGGTTATATAAATTTGTAATCTTGTTTATCTCCAGTCTGGCTTCTGATGTTTTCGCCGGCCAACCCACGGCCTCAGTTTGCCTTAGTTGTGATCGGATATATGAACCAGTAGTCAAGGGAAAAGACAGATACGGCTCTGAGCCCATAGAGTTGAAAAGCAGAGTCACGTCCTCGGTCATCGCAATCACTCTTGACTGGCAGCAGCCTCACCGGTGGCCTCATCCCCAACTATGTTGGAATAAAGCATTTTAGTGCTGTGAGAAACGTCTTGGTAATGGAACGTGTCGGTAGAGTTGCGCCTTTGATGAGCGTCTTTCTGTGCTTTCCCCTGGCCTTGAGACATGTCCTGCTCCCTGGGCATGAAAAACAGGCCAATCACCCCCTGTTCCTTTCCATCATCCACGCGCTGAGTTGAAAGAGGATGAGCAGACAGAAAGAGGCGCAAAGAATGAGGATAGAAAAGCAATTTGCTAACTCCATAAATCCAGCCACCTAGGGTACCTGACCCCGGAGATAGAAGCAGGAGGCCATTATTTAAACTCGGGTAACCAATGCTCTCCTATTAACATTGAAAGGGCTGGTGTCTGCTGGTTGTCTGCAGCGGCACATTTATGTGTTTTATTTACTGCCTTGTACCGCATGGCCTCATGCGCAGGGCTCCCGAAAACCAGCTCAGACTGAACTCAGAAGGCGCCCTTAATATGGATTGATAAGGGGACTCTGTTTGTCTCCACCAGTTGAAGCAGGATGTTAAATTAAAATAAAGGTGATGCCCAAAGCCTGTTCTCTGTTGTTTGAAATGGTTATGTGTGTGTTGGTTGGAGAACGAAATAGATGCAAAACAAAAAAATAAAGCACATTTTGTGGGGGTGGTGTGGTGCAGTGGGTAACGCTCTGGGCTGGTGACCAGAAGTATGTTGAATCAATGCTCGTGTGGTGCAGTTATCACCGTTGTACCTCATATAAGACTACTGGAATTCACTTTGGATAAAAGCATCTGCTAATTAACTATTTATTTATTTTTCGGACTGTGTAAGTACTATAAAAATGTTTGGGGTCTGTAAGCTGTTAAGTCTCTTAGGCTCACCAAGGCTGCAATTATTTGTGACCCTGGACCACAAAACCAGTCTTAAGTCGCTGGGGTATATTTGTAGCAATAGCCAAAAATACATTGTATGGGTCAAAATTATTGATTTTTCTTTTATGCCAAAAATCATTAGGACATTAAGTAAAGATCATGTTCCATAAAGTTATTTTGTAAATTTCCTACTGTAAATATATCAAAACTTAATTTTTGATTAGTAATATGCATGGGTAAGCACTTCATTTGCACAATTTTAAAGGCGGTAAATACATACACTGTGATACATTTTTTTAGGATTCTTTGTATAGAAAGTTCAAAAGAACAGCATTTATTTGAAATGCAAATGTAATGTAATAAAAATTTTAAGTATTGCTTATTACTTGCAAGTCTTATGTATAAATGACTAATAATTTACTAATGATTTTCTTTAAAAATCTAATGATGATATTTTTTCTGAGGAACCCAGATGTAGTTACTTATGGCGGATTGTCCAGGCAGCTCATTTCCACAACCAGAAAGTGAATGGTGACCACTGCTGACAAACAGAATTTTTCATTTACATTACATTTACATTACATTGAATAATTTAGCAGATGCTTTTTTCCAAAGCGACTTACAAATGAGGAGCAATCAAAGACTTGAAAATGATAACTCAATCAAACCAACAAGAGAGCAACAATAAATAAGTGCTATGACAGTACACATTGCAAAGTTTTTTGTTTTGTTTTGTTATAATAAATAAAAAGTAGATAGAAAAGAAATACAATAGATAGCTAGCG